GGTTTTGTGCCACATATGAATCGCCCTACAATCTTTTCCTTTACATCAGAACTTCATCTTGTTAAAATAACCCCATCTTAGGTTTAAATTTTTGGATTCTGACCACTTCACGTTTTTTTTGCGTTGGACCGTCTACTTGGTTTTTATTATACGTTGTTGCAGCTACGCAATGCAGAAAGCGCATATTGACGAGGGGTTGTCTGTGTGTGTGTCTGTGTGTGCGTTGGGCGTCTGTACCGATTTTTCATCTCGAGATCGACAAATGCCACAGAGCTGATACTTTGGGAACTTAGTCTACATGTTGGTGCGGGCCCCCATCCCCAAAATGGGCGGTCTTCCCTGCTTGCTATCCACGTAGGGACCTGTGAAACTTTTTTGCGAGCAACTTGTTAACTCGAGAACCTGAAAAACTCGAGGACTGGGACTTTAACGGGTATTCCCTGCCCATATAGGTATTAATAAGCTCAAAACCAGACACCGGGCATGCTTGGTATCCACGCACAGGCCCACCATACAATCTTTTCCTTTATATCATAACTTCACCTTAGTAAACTAACCTTACCTTAGGTTTAAATTTTCGAACTCCAGCTGCTTCACACTTTGTTTTGAGCTGGATTGTCTACTTTGTTTTTATTGTTTCTAAGACTACGGTTCGACCTTCTAATTGCCGCACACTATTATTATTCCTTCACAAAAATTGCTAGCACATTTTGCGTTTTTGGCCTTCACGGAGAATTTGCTGAGTGATTTTTGAGGTAAAAATAATTGCATTTTAAGGTAAAGATAGTAATTTTTTTCTTTGTTACAGAAAATTAATGGATACAACACTTCATCATTTTTCGCTTTTTGTCGATGAAACGGGTACAGAACGAATGCTTGCACTGGGAAGTTCCGGTGATTCCTCGCAACAAACAGTTTATACTGCCCCATTAACACGTTCACCACTGATCAATTCAGCATCCACATTGTGCCTCTCCACTTACTTGGATACTAAACCAACTGAGGTACATTTCCTTCATTTTCAGGCGTTTTTTTTTTCTTTTTTTTGGTAAAATATGCATTGGATTTGTCAAAATTAGCCAGGTTTTTATCAAAATTGCCATTTGTTTTGTCGATTTTGCTATTGAACCTATTGGTTTTGTACGATATCACGAAAATCAGCATTCAGAATTGTCAAATTCAGCAGGTTTTTTTAAAATTGAAATGTTAAAATCGTGAGTTTATTGATTTATCAGAATTCAGATGTTTGTCAAAATTGCCCTTCTTTTTGTCGAATTTGCCATTGGATGTATTGGTTTCGTACCATTTCATGGAAATCGTCATTTAGAATTGTCAAATTCAGCAGATTTTTTAAAAATTGTGCATGTTAAAATCTTGGGTTTATTGATTTATCAAAATCAGCGTAAAATTTATCAAAATTGTTAAAATCTATTCAGATTTTTTGCCAAAAACAACGTAGCACTCACATCCGTTTGTACAATTAACTGCTTTGGCTACGCTACGAGAAAATTTTTTGCTGGGTAAAATCTGAAGTGATAGAAATATCTATCTGTTTTCGCTGAAAATGTCTTAAAAATATCAAAAATATCTGAAAATATTGAAAAAGATATTTAAAATATCTGAAAATATTTAAAAGCATCTAAAATATCTGAAAATTGAAATATCTCTCTGAAAAAATAAAATCTATGTTTTTTCGCGTTCTTCCTCCAGATCTCTCAGGTTGCCGTAGGAATTTCATAAAAACCGGTCAAGTGAGAAATCGAAAAAGCCGGAAACTCCTTCCGTATTTACCTGTCATGTCAGGCAAAGGTACCCGCAAGCAGTCGAAATGGTAATCCCTGCCAGCAGTTACAGCCGCCGGTGTTAATATAGTTCTTGCTGCAAATATCTGAAACCATTTATTTCAGAGTACTGCCCCTCCTGCAGAATTAGCCGCACTGTGTGAGAGGCAGCGGACAACAGTTTCATCCGGTATATCGTTTTATCAGTTCCATCCCAGTTCATCAACACTGCTTTACTCGGATTCGACCAGTTTGTTCCTTCTTCAGGCACTGTTTCTTTTTTCCTATTCTTATTTTAATACTTCAAATAGCTGTTATAGAAAGGTATACGACTTAATGGACCGAAACATTTCTTACCTATTACAAATATTTCCACAGTCTTCTTTCTCCTTCTTCGTTTTTTCTTCATTTTCTTCCCTTCATC